CTCTACCTGCAATCAGGGATGAGTCTCACAAGAAATCCAACAGCCATGAAAGCAGAAGGTAGGTGCTTAGAAGAGGCCAAGTCATACATAATTATTGTATGTATGACAAAGTGCTGCCAATATTGTCCTCTTTGACTGAGTTTGCAGTCGAGTAGAGCTTCTAAGAAAATGACCCCTCTCCATCATGCCCACTCCCCATGCCCCATGGATCACAAGTCCTACTGATCTTCCAACTCTGTGTCTTTGATACCACCATCCAAATCACCATGATTCTCTCATCTAGAACTGAGTTATAATGTCTAAGTTCATATGCTTACACTTTTTGTTCCCCTATATTTTTGTTTCCCTTCTTTCTGTTCTCCATATAGCAAGCAGAAGAATTCTTTAAAAAATGTCTGATGAGATTTCTTGGTGATGAATATTCATCAATACCCCATTCATTAAAATCCAGAAGCTGTAAGACCAGGTCTCTCCCTACATCTCTGGCTTGATCACTGTCCACCAGCAATCCTTGCTTTCTGAGCTCTCCAGATTCTCCTAGCTGCTTTCTACTACAGTCTTTTTACAGGCTTGTTGTTGAGAAGCCTCTTTGCATACATTATGCTTCTTATGCTTAATGCTCAACAGTATGTGCATTTTCGGGACCAACTTCAGTGCCGCTTCTTTAGACAGGTTTTCTCTGAATTTCTAATACCAAGTACTCTCATAGTACCTGGTAACTTTTTAGGTCACTTAATCAGAATTTGAATTTTATACTTGTCCAGTACCTACTCTATCTAGGTCACACAGTTTCTGAAGGCAATGCCCTTGCTTTAACCATAGTTCTCCTGTATGCAGTAGTCACTCAGTAAATATTTTTTGGATGGAGGTGAATTAATCTTCCTTTTCTTTTATCTGTGCGATGATGTTACCCAGAAGATTAAATGAATTGCAAAATTCATTACAGAATTGGAATTTTTTGGTGGTCTTACTTGTTCAGGAACTCTCTGATTTATGGGGTTATGACAGGCAAAGGAGAGAATAAAATTCCTTTGGGAATCAATAATATTGAATACATAAATGCTGCCATAGATCAGATATTAACTGTCTCCCAAAAGCCTGTGCATAAAAGATTTGTTCCTCAGGGTGGCAGTATTTGGAAGTGCTGTGTACTTTTAAGAGGTGAGGGTCTTTGGGTAACTCCTTGGATCATTGGAGGTGTGTCCTCCCTCCCAGAGAAAAGACACTGTGAAATCCTGGCACATCCCATTGTTATTGTTTTCTTCCTGGCTCATGATATAAGCAGTCTGTCTGTCACATGCTCCCTCCATGATGTGTTATCCTTCCTAGAGGCCTGAAGAATGGGGCCACATGATTTTGGATTAACCCCCAGAACTACAAACCAAAATAAAACTTTTCTCTTCATAAGTTAATTTTCCCTAACATTTCAGTGTAGTAATATGAAACTGAAAAATACATGATTGCCTCACTATGATCTTTGCAATAGCCTTTGTGAATTCAGTGAGTTATCCTTATTTAATAGGTTAGGAATCAGATGGTAAGAAAGATAAAGTGACTTCCTCTAATGCACATGGTTAAGAAGTGGTGGAGATAGGTCACCCATAGAAATCTTTGACTCCAAAATCCCAGATATGTTTGGGAATATGAAAAAAAAGTGATATACTTATTTTTTACTTTTATTTTTTTCATTATGGCATTTTTAATAGGCCAAGGTCAAAAAGCAAAATAAACATAAAAATGAGTTTTTCTTGATCTCACAGTGCTTAGTTGGATCTGAAAGCACTAGAATAAGGGCAGTATAGACTTTGGGAAGCTAAAGCTCTTTATTAATATATTTAAGATTTTCCTATCTATTAAAATGAAGTCAAGGGATATTCAGTAATCCTGCAACATGGAAGAAATAGAATCCATCCTCCCTTTCTATTGAACTTTTGATGGGATTTGTATGCATTGCAGGCATAAATTTAAACAAGATAATCCATCCCACTTCCCTGTTGCTCCAGTTTCAGTGATAGACAAAGTAGTCTACTTCATTTTTTCCTCTCAATTCAAACACCATAAGAATGTATTGGCACAAGAGGGATCTTAAATGAGCAGGAGTACTGAAGGATGGGGACTTTATGGGGTTGCAATGGAAAGCAGGACTGGAGTCAGTGTGATTGGTTGGTTTCTTGGTTTTTCAAATTATTTTTGAGGCCGCACCTTTGCTTTCTGGCTTGTTGGAGTGATTCCTGCTGTTACAGTGTGGAGTCTCCCTCCCCTTCCCTTGTTCTTCCCTTCCCTTCTTTTCCATGTAAACCTCTCATTCACCCCTACCCCCACTTCAAGCATCCTACATACATGTGATGCATGAAGGAAAACAACTCTTACATATGAAGTCATAGAGAAAGTAAAAACTCAGCAGTTGAGATTGGGGGTGAGACCTACATGCTGTGAGTAAGGAAAAATGGAAGCACTATACAGACCTACATAAATAACAAGCAGGCATCTTTAAACTGTTCATCAAGCTCCCACTGTAGTAAATAGTAGACCATTGAGAAGGGATCAAAGTGTGTGTGTGTGTGTGTGTGTGTGTGTGTGTGTGTGTGTGTTATCCTGGTCTCAAATTCTTGGAGGAAGACCAGGTGAATGATAATGTCAGCTTTTTACTAGTGATCATACTATCATTTGGATGTTTACTGCACACTTATTTAGCATCAGTCACTAGTTATATAGATCATGATGAACAGAGAAACGTGGTTTATAGGCTTACAATCTAGTTTAACAAAGCACTACACACTGTGACAGCGCAAAGATAGAAGTACAAGTTGAGGCAGGAAGATGGCAAGTTCAAAGCCAGCCTCTGCAACTTAGTGAGGCCCTAAGCCACTGAGCAAGACCATCTCAACATGAAAAGATAAAAAATAAAGAGGGCTGAGGATGTGGCTCAGAGGTTAAGTGCCTCTGGGTTCAATCCCTGGTACCAAAACAAAACCAAAAAAAAAAAAAGGTGAATTGGGAAATAGCTGGTAAGACACCTCATTTTCCAGGGTTCTGAGACAACTTTTGATAGCATGGAGAATCTGAAGGACAATAATACCAGAGATGGTTAATTTTATGTCAGTTTGGCTAGGCTCTAATACCCAGTCATTTAGTCAAACTCTAATGAGGATCTAAGTGTTGCTGTGAAGATATTTTGCAGATGTAGTAATATTTACAACCAGTTGATTTTAAGGAAAGAGGATTTGTCTAGATAATGCAGGTGGGCCTCACTTAGGAGCAAAAGGTAGTCTTTCTAGAAAAGTGGAAATTCTTCCTCCAGTCAGAAGCATCCAGTCTTGCCTGAGTTGCCAGTCTGCCAGAACTGCTCTACAGATTTGAGAGTCACCTGCCAGCATCCATAATCATGTGAGGCAATTCTTTAAAATAAATCTTTTATCATGCGTGTATATGTGTTGGGGGGGGAGAGAAGGGGGAAGAGAATGAACACATTTCCTGTTTCTCTTGGGCAAATACCTTAGTCATGTAAGGTGTGAGGTATGTGTGTGGTGGGGGAAAGTGCAAGGCAAGGTGATGATATCTAGAAAGGGCTGGAATGAAAAGCTAGATCCTGAAGCACATTTTATGTGACCTAGAGACTTTGGAAGGGTTTTAAGTTTCTGGGAATGGAAAGATTAGATTCACATTTTAGAAAGGACTTGTGTTACTATGGAGAGCAGAAGTTTAGAAAACTTGCTTCAATTTGAGCAGGATGGATAATATATATTTTAATAGGGAAGAAGGTGCTGAATCTAGTCTAGAATCTAAAATAATAATGTAATGTTTTTATTATTGATGATGGGACAGTCTTGCAAAAGAGTCATAAGCTTCTTTTTGTAGTCACGTCTATACCTTTCACTAGGAAGTACTCCTTGTTAATTGGGAAAATAATCCAAACTGGCTGAGCAGCAGTTATGGAAGATGAACTCATACATAGCAGTGGGGTGGGAGGATGGAGGTCAGCAGGGAATTCCTGCAGCGAAAGTGGGAAGAGAAAGTTTACAAACGGATTGAAGTTCCACAACATCCTGTGTGCTGTGAGAGGATTCGCCTATTAAAAGGGCAGCATCTAATTTCTTTTATTCTCTTCTTCTGGGGATTCCGTCGTTCTCTCATCCCTGTTGCCACAAGTTCCCTGAGCTGCCTTCTTCGTGTCTGGGCGTGGTTTGTACCTGTCAAACTGGCACCTGAAAGGGATAAGGGGACTGGGAACTTGGAGTTCCAGCTGAGGTCAGAGGTTTCCCACTGGGAGGCTCCCAAGGACAGCCTTTAGCAACCTGTGTCCAGGGCAAAAAGGGTGTTCTTTTTCCCCCTCTGCACTCCTAGATGTCTTCACCCTGACTCCGGTTGTAGTCCCTGTCATTTCTGGCCAGGGACATTCTGCCAAATGGCGCTCCAGGCTCATCTCAATCACCCTTGGAGGTGTAGTGGGGATTGCTGGTGACGAGTTAATACCTTTTTCCTGGTGCAGACTGTAAGAGGGTAGGACTTCAAATCTCCCCGACTCCAGGGCGCAAATGAAGGGCATATCCCTATACCACCCTGGCCAGGTGAGGGGGAGCACGAAGATGAGGAAGATGCCCACCTGCAAAGGTCTGGGTATCCGCGCTCCAGAGCTTAGGTCCCACCTGCCGCGCCCGACCTGAAAGAAGACTGGATGGAACTCTGGGGCATATGAATGTCAGGCAGAGAGAATGAGGAGATGGGGTGTGTGTGTGTGTGTGTGTGTGTGTGTGTGTGTGTGTGCGTGCTGTGTGGGGGGGGGCGTTTAATAGTGGAACGGGCTGACACGGGGAGAGGCAGCAGGTGAGCCAAGGAGCTGTGCCCCAGGCGGGGAGGCGGGCTGAGCCAGGCTCTGGAAGGGAGCACCAGCAGGGGCGACGCGGGCGAGGATTGGGCCAGAAGGGGGTGCGGAGAGGCGAGCTCAGGCGGGGAGACAGCGAGGGAGGTGGAGGCGAGGGGGAGGGAGTTCTGAAAGGAGGGAAAGGAGCCGGTGAGGGGCGAAGAAGCCAGCCGGGAAGGGCGAGCGGCGGAGGGCGGCGAGCCACGGGCGCCAAGACCGTGCCACACCCCCACCGCGGGGCACGGAGGGTTTTGCCCGGGGAGACACAAAGACATGCGAAGAGGGGCTGAGCGAGGCTCGCGCACAAAGACGCCGGGGCGCTCGGCCACTTGGGCTGCACCGACCGCCCCCGCGCCGCGCCGCGCGGAGGCCGGGCCAGCGCGGAGCCCTGGGCTGAGCGCGCCGCGGCGGCGGCTGCTGGCCGGCGCGGGACCCGGGTCGCCCGCGCTCTCTGGGTGACCCGGGCCCGGCCGCAGGCACGCGCGGGGGCGGCTGAGCCCGAACCCAACTTGGCCTCAGCCTCGCCCTCTGCCCAGCCAGCCCGTGTCCCCTCCTTCCCGCGATTTCGTTTCTTCTCACGCTCCCTCCACACCCCCTCCCGCGTCCAGCCCCGCTCTCCCCACCTTGTAAAACAAAGCCGGGGAAAATGCCTGCCCATGCAGCTCGGAGCGCGCAGCAGCCCGTCTCTGAATAAGAAGTGAGTACAATGGCGTGTTTGTAAAAAAGCTTCAAGTCCATCTTTTTCAAAAAACATTCTGAATGCTGCATGCCTCATGCTTCCCAGCGCCTCGCGGGAGAGACCTGGCTATAGAGCAGGAGGTGAGACCCCCGGGTACGCTCCCCGCCACCCCCCAGCCTCGCGCTTTCCGGCCCAGCCAGCCCTAAGAGGGCTGCAGATGTCCCCTCGCAGCAAGCGGACGTTTCTGATCTTCGTTTTCTGTCCAAAGTGTTGGATCATTATCTGGATTTGGAGGCAAACCCATTCCCGGATCTTCTCCTGGCGGCTTCTGCCCCCCGCCTCCCCCCTACTCCCGCTGGCGCCTGGGGTCTTTGCATCTGCCTTGGGTATGGGTTTGGAACACGTTGGGAGAGTTTCTGATGGAGGAGGAGGGTCAACCCTTGAGAGTAGCGGACAGGCAGGTTGCATGGTGACCCTCGTCACACTTGTTGCCCATTGCATGGTGGGACACGCAGTGGTGCTGAAAAAAGGCTCATTTCTCCTGCTGGTTGGTGGTCATTTGCGACGAGAACGAAGACATATCAGCGTGAGGAAGGGAGCCCAGGAAGACCAGGAGAGTGTGCTGTGCTGGGAGTGGGGGTAGTAATGGAACTGAGAGTGTGTGGAAGGGTCAGCTCTTCTTCAAAAGGGGTATATGGAAACCCAGAGATTTCCCATATTAGATCCAGAGAAAAGGCTGATATAAAATATCAGCCTATATCAACCATGTATATATATAAGGTATCACACCAGTTTCTGTCCATTCTGTCTGCCAAGTGTGCATTATATATATTCTGCTAATTAAAAAATTAAAAAATAAAACAGGAGCTTAAAAAGATTAAACTCCTTCAGAAACACACTGGCACACACACACTATATATATTTAAAAACATATATATATATATGTTTTTAAAATCTATCCTCTTTTCCTCAAAACATATAATAACAATGTCTTAGTGGGATTTTGGGTTGAGATTTGATAGCCTCAAGGTAAACAGTCCTGGTGTTTTCCAATTCTACAGGCTAGCAAACCAGTGATGTGAAAAATCAGAAAGGCAAGAGCACAGAGATGTGGGGAGGAGCGGCTTGGAAAGCTTGGAGATAATGTGGAGCTTCTGTGTAATTTTCTATTATTTTTATTCCAAAATTGGCTAAATTTTAGATTATGACTTTTTTTTTTCTCTCAGACTTACTAAGCAGCTAGGGGAAGGTGCTGCTGAGACTGCAGACAACAGTGAATTTAGCTATTATGAGCATTCTATTAGAAAATGTGTGTGTGTGTGTGTGTGTGTGTGTCTGTTTTAAATCAAAACATTAAACACATGCCCAGTACTAATTTTAAATATAAAGGTGTCTCCTAGCTTGTGGTTTTTCAGAACAGGTGGATGCATCAGGAGAGAAACCTGTACATACTTGTGTGCAAAAGGTTGAACTCTTGCTCTGAGGAGCTCTATGCAAGTGGAATCTCCACTTGGATCCAGGGCTAGGGTGTCCTCAATCACAGCTCTGATTTCATCTCTCCAATGTCAAAACTATTCTGAGCTTTCCTGGTTGGGGAGCCTGTGTCATCTGCCATCATTTTACAATACTACTTAGGTCTAGGGCTTCAAACGGCTTTGTTTGGAAAGCTTCTTTTTGATGGGCAACTGAAGATGTATTTTATGAACTCACATTATGGTAGCCTACATTTAACGCACAATGTTAGGTAGGAGAGCAGAGTAGGGAGCTGTTTTACAATTGACACTCTTTATGAGCATCTTATCCTCAGGTGGCTGTAGGATATTTGTGTGCATTTCCATGAGATTTCTTGTATAGTTACCTAGAAGTGTGTTTTAGATTAAGTAATCATTTAATAAAACCTACATTATATACATGACAACGGTATTACTTGTATTACTTATAACAACGTTAGACTTTAAATTGACTATTCTATTTGAGTTGGTATTTTGTTTTTAAGTTCCATATATTTTAGCCATTCTGTTAACCCTTTTTAGTTCAATGCTGCTTTTCTAAGCTAATGTTCTGTAATGGATGGCTTATTTTTCCCTTAGCAAGTGGAAGTCTAGCAGCTCTTGTATTTTCTAAAAAGAAATCCATTAATGATATTTTTGAACAGTTGAGATAAATAATAAATGAATTTAGAGTCACCTCAGCATATACGGGAATTTGTAAGAGAGCATGTAAACACGCTCTAATGGAGCAATTAGTTTTGTACAGAGCATGTAGGGACTCAGGTGTGAGCAAAGGTTTAAATTCCTCTTATCTTGAAGTTACTCGAGGTAGAAATTGAAGGAACTTGTCTTTATTTCTCTCTACCTAACATTGTGCCATAAGGGTCAGCAATAACTTTTATTTTTTAAACATGTCAGAAAATAAATAGTGATGTTTCACACTGAGCCCATTTTGGAAATTGGGTGAAACAAACAAACAAACAAACAAATAAATTGGACTGAGTGGTTTACTCATACCTGTTTTATGAGAAAATCAAGATTGATTTCTTTTTAGCAGCACTGTTTTGATTGTAAATAATTTTTAATGCAATTACAACACAATTCCTTATTATAATAAAATTTATAACAAAAATAAGGTGTTCTTTATATCCATCATTTGCACTATGAAGTTCTTGAGAACAAGAATAAGCCATTAGGTTTCTTCATGACCATGAACTCCTAGAAGTTTAGTATGTTTTCGTTGACTCAAATAGTGGGCAGATATAAAATTAGAAATTAATTAGGAAGCCCTCAGGCATCCTCTTATTTTCCTAAGTTTCTGGGTCTGACTCCTGTTTTCTTCCTTCCACCTGGATCACCAATAGCAGCAAGGAACCAAGACCCAGCCCCTTTTCCTTGGACCCATTTATAAGGTCCTGCAGGAGATCCAATAAGAGTGCTTCTGGGTTAGGTTCCAGAGCTTCCAGGAGAGCAAGCTCTTCAGCCAGCCCTTGCTGATCCCTTCAACAGCCCCATTCCCCTTTGATCTCCTCCCGCCTAACCCTCCTTCTCTGTTGTTGTCAGTGGCGGCACCTGACTTGCTGGATCCTAAATCTGCAGCTCAGAACTCCAAACCGAGGCTCTCCTTCTCCACGAAACCCACAGTGCTTGCTTCACGGGTGGAGAGTGACACGGCCATTAATGTTATGAAATGGAAGACGGTCTCCACGATTTTCCTGGTGGTTGTCCTCTATCTGATCATCGGAGCCACCGTGTTCAAAGCATTGGAGCAGCCTCAGGAGATTTCTCAGAGGACCACCATTGTGATCCAGAAGCAGACATTCATATCCCAACACTCCTGTGTCAATTCCACCGAGCTGGACGAACTCATCCAGGTAATGGCACCAGAGAAATTGCTATTGCATTTCCCCTCAAAGGAGTAAAGGGTAGGGGAGAGAGCCAGTGTGCACCTGCTGGCCAGAATGAAGGAGCCCTACTCCACCTCTGCTTCTTAGCATAGACTTTTCCCCCAATCTTTCTGTCCTTTTCCTTTCTCATTCCTTTCTTTCACCTGCTTATCTTCCCTTCCTCTTATCTTCCACTGTTCTTTCTCATTCTCTCTGCTCCTCTTGCTCTTCTGTATTTATTTCTTGCCTCCTTTTTTTTTTTCTTCCTGAATTCTTTCTCATTTCCTTGTCTCAGAATGGCCAGTGCACACCTGTGGACATGGGGTTACCCTGCTGGAGGTCCTTGTGGTTAGGTGGATCATTGCCCATGGAGAAGCATTGCCATGGTAAATGAAAAACAAAAGAGTTTTCACCTGGGCAGTGGCCAGCTTAAGATGGAAAGGATGCATTTTTGGTGTGACCCTCTTGAGATGGGCATCCCTTGTGATTAACAAGTTGTCACTCACCTCTTTAATCTAGCCAAGGTGTAACTGTTAACTCCCTGCGTAAAGTGTTTAGGGACAAGTGATTAATTATTGTTTCTGTAAATCCCAACTGAAAGGCAGTTTATTGCCACACAGAAAAATAGTTTTTGAATTACAACTAATTCAGTTTTAATTGATAATAGCAGGGCAATTACATTATGAAAAAAAATTTTATTTTAAAAGTTAATCCCAAAATGATTTATAAATTTCAGGTAGGCTTCTTGGAGATGACTATATTTTTTGTTGTAGATTTCTTTTGCATAAAACAGTTTATTGGTCAAACCAAAAATTGTAGTCTTGAACAGAGCACGATAAAGGAGAGAAATGACTGGTTATTAAGGACATTTTAATTGTACACACACATATTTTCCTGTAGAACCTACTTTTCTTACCTGGTTTAATTCCATTTGGACTGAAATGATCTATGAGACATCATCTGAGCATACTTCTTTATTTTAGGTTTGTTTTTTGAATGAGTGGGAATAGTAGACTGAGGGATGTATTTTTTTTTTTAATTTTCATCCTTTTTTGTTGTTTCTAGGACTTTTCCTCTAATTTTGGTTGTAGTGGTTTCCCCTAACACTACCTAAGCCCTTTCTATGTCTACTCTATATGCATTTTTTTAATGTAAGTTTTTTTGAAAACTGTTAGAGCTAATATTATCTGACCCTTATTGAGCTCCTGCCACATTTAGACATTTCTGCATTTGACTTAATGTTTTAAATTTTTAATATTTTATTTTTTAGATTTACACATAGACTTATGTTTTGAAAAGACCCTTTACATACTTATATACCAAATTCTTTACTATTTTTAGATGTTAGTGACATTTTCAGTTTTGACAGTGAAAACCGCCAACTCATATTACATTATTGTCCCAGCTATCCCCTTCCTTGGTCCTTTGTAAGATTATTTTCACTTCATTCTTTCTTTGTGCTACACAATCCTAGGAGAGAATACATCCCTCTATAGAATTCCCACTTCCCTTAAGTTTTAGAAGAGATCTTGGTTGTCTTGATGGCATGGAGCAGTGGTAGAAGCCTAAACATTGGAATTTGACAAGATGTGTTTTAAGCTCTGTTTGAGAGCTTAGTAGAGGTGTCACCTGAAGCAGCAACTTTTTGGTTTAAGCCATAAATGATCTATTTAGAGTAGGGATAGAATACCCACCAAGTAGGCTTCTTCCAAAGGATAATCTACAGAGAGTACCATGGTCCTCAGAGTGTTAAGTTTGCTTGTTGATACAATTCCCCTGTCTCCTTTACCCCTTTCCTGGGTTGTAGCAGTTTGATTCAGGTAGTTGCATTCTTGGCATGTGGAGGGAAATGATTGGTCTTGGACAGAAAAGAAAAAAAAAAAAAAGGAAATTGTGTGAATTTGAAAATGATCTCACTGTCAAGTTTTAACCAGATTTATTCAGAACTTTGAAAATAGCTTGAAGGCCATTGCGAGGAAGGGCAATCTAGTGGTGAATACTGATTTTTTTTCCTACCTTGCTTTAGCAATGGGAATGAACCATGGGTAAAAAAATGACCCGATGTTTTTATTTCTACTATGAATGGGCAATCCATTTTAGCTTTAATCATAGTTATTGCTGATTGAGTATTACTACATTTTTTGTGCTTACTTAGTAATTTTCAATGCAGAAACTATTCTTTATTGTCATGTCACTCATCTTTATAACCCCACAACTTTAAAGCATTAATTTTCTTTCTCTTTGGATATAATTTCTTTTGATAAAGGAAATCTTTATAATGTTCTGGCTTTAAGGAACAAGGTCAGTATGTAAGTTGGGAGAAAGGCCACCCAGCTAGTCATCATTTATTAGAATTACATTTTATTCATATGATTCTCCTAAATTTCCAAGTGTTTTTTTCTCATACTTATTTTCCCATTCAATCATCCCTTAAAACCTCATGAGTGTCTATATTAGACTGTGGTATCACAGCATTAAGGATTAGGAATCTAAGTTGCAGAAAGTCCAAGTGATTTACCCCCTGTAGCATTAACAGGGTGAGCGGTCCCATCTGGCATCTGACCTAGGAGTCTCGGCTGCTTTTCCGCTTATTTTCTTTTGGTGCTGGAGGAGGGAAATAGTTGGAGTGGTCAGTCATTCAATCCCAGTGTTGGTGGAAAAGAAATTTGGGGAGGTTGAGTGGTCAGAGAGAAGTACAACCTCAAGTGCAGTTAGCCTAACCTGGTCCCAGCCCCCTAGTTATTAAGTACACCTCTGGGCAAACTATAGAAACCTGATTCTATGCTGTGGTTATCACAGGGTAGGGTGACAGAGATTGATTCATGAAGGCAGATGACAGCAACTGTCTGTCCTCTGATAGGAGCTTGTGTGTATACTCTATGTACTGCCCTTTGCATGCCTCCATCAGCCCTTCAAGACAAAGGTCAAGGAAGGGCAGAAATAGGAAGATACAAATATCTTTTCTGGCCTAAGATATCTTGAGCAGTATAATTTTCAACTCCCACTACATTTAAACTAATATGATGTCAGTATAGAAACATACATGAAAACTTTTTAAGTTTTAAGACTCATAAGTAACTATTATCAGTAGCCAGATTTTAATGAGCACTTATTATGTGTAAGGCTTTTCCCCTAACCCTTTACATGTATAATTTCTCTTAAACAATCTTATGAGGCAAGTTCCTTGTTTTTCTTTTTTCTTTTTTTTTTTTTTTGCACTTAGCTTATATGGAGACTGAGGCAGGGGAACTTAATATTCCAGGGTGCAAAGTGGCAGAACTGTTATTCAAACCTAGGTGAACAGACTCTGGAGCTTAAGCACTTAGCTCTCATATTTATTGCCTCTAAAAGAAGTTCCCTATTATCCCATGTATTAGGCTGTAATGAGTATTGAGTTATAGTCTTATTTTCATAATGATGTATGCTATCTCTTTCCAACATGGAGATCATATAACCTGGATTTTAATGTTCTTCCTGGACAGCAGGATTATCACCAGCATTCTGTTTGAATATGGTGAACCAGTTGAGGTCTGGTGAGGTGAGACACACCCAGTCGTCAATATAGTTGTTTCTAGATTTGCTGAATCAATTTTGGGATTTAAAATATAGTGCAAAATCTATGATCTATGCATTATAATAAAATACCTAATGGGACATTTGTCTTTTGTTTTCTAATGTGAGCCCCACTCCTTGTGGATCTAGGCCTGGAAGATATTTTCTCTGTTTTCGGGTAAAGAATAAGACATGTTTGTACAAGGGCATCCGTTTGGCCTTAGGTCTAGATCTTTGGCGTCTTCCTGCCAAGGGGATTATATTCTCTCTGCACCAGTCCTTCTCATTCTGGTCCATTCACTGGCTTTTATTCAGGACCTCCAAGGTGTTGACCTCTTTGCTGGGTACAGAGCCAAATAAAATGATGGAAAAAACCCTGGTCTCTCTTAAGGTATTCACCCTCACAGTCAACCAGAGGAGACAGCGATAAGCGTAGTTACAATAGAAGTGCTTTAAGATCAGAGCTGGGGTGCTACAGATTGGAACACCGAGGGGAAATTAACCACTTTATAACAGGTGGGAAGTCTAAGAAGAAGAGGTGAAAGGAGATTAGATTCTAAGCATGCATCAGAGTGCACTGGGGAAGATAAGAGCAGGGGACGGTCTAGGCGGTACAGGCATGGAGTGACCTGGGTGTGAGGAGGAGGGACATTAGCAGGTAAACCCTGGCTTCTTGTTCTGTACCAGGGAGATTTGCTTCCTCCTGGCCCTGTTTTTTACTTGGAATAATTGTGCCCTAGTGGGCAGTTAGTTGTGTATCAGAGGATACTTGGAACTATAGGATAAATATATCAACCTGGCTTTCCTAGAAGGCCAATGACACTAGACTTAAAAAAAAATGGTTTAATGTAATTCTATATTCATTCATTCATTTAAGAGCATTTATTGAATGCCTACTAGATACATTGTCTAAGCACTAAAATACTATAGAGAATAAAACACATGAAAATTCTTGTCCTTGGTGAGCTTATATTTTGTTGGGGAAAGACAGTATGTTAGATAGTAGTAAGTTTCAGGAAAATAAATAAAGCATTGGTGGGGGATAAGAAATGTTGAATGGTGTTGGTGATTAATTTTCAATCAGATCACTAGAGAAGTGTCACTGATAGGGTGATTTTCTAAAGAGAGGAAACCAACCAAGAGGCCATCTGGGGACTAACTCTTGGGTGGAGCATGAACTTGGACATAGGCCCTTATTGAGGTGTGAGTTCCTGCCAGGATAATGGGAGGGAGTGGTGGAAGATGACATCAGTCAGGTAATGGGGGCCAGTTCATGTAGGGGTCTTGTAAGTTAAAATAAGCACTTTGAATATTTGGTGCATGTAAGTATGCTGTTCTGGCTGCACATCAACAGGATCACTCTGGCTACAGTGTTTAGACTAGGTTGCACAAATGTGGGGGTGGTATCAGGACAGGCAGTTAGGAAACTGTTGTAA